TATTCATATAATTTCAATTTCTCAGATACTTTTGTATATCCCAGAAAAACCAATGAATTCCTTATTAGCCCAGCCCCATTACAAACGTCAAAAGACCTTTTGATTCAAGTATTACTTAACAAATGTTGATTGCTTGAAGATGATTATTAATATTGGAATATCTAAATGAAGTGATTAAATGAGATAAACATTTGCCCGTGAGAGTTAGAGATGATTATATATCACTCTATTTGAGAGATCATGCTTCTCTGAGGATAGTTGATGATTAATTATCCTTTGTTAGTTTATGCAACTTTAATGCTTATATATCCTATTTTCATTTGGAGTTGTGAGCATCGCATTTGGAAGAAAAATATTTTTATGTTGTGATTCTGGAAAAGAAAGTGATAATAGGTGATGATTTTGTTTTGGAAAAAGTACTTTGCTTGGGGACAGACAATATTCTAGGTTGGGGGGATTTGTTAAGTGGTAAAAGTTAATGTAATTATGCTCCTAGTTGTTATATAACCACTTCAATATTATTGATTTTAATATATTTTTTCTCTCAATGTAGGATGAATTGGTAGAATACCTTGATACAAGAGCAAAGACCATAATTGTGAAGATAATTGAAGAAAAAGTGAAAGAAATAAGATTTTCAACTGGAAATTTGCTCGAGCGTCATGCTCGCTTGAGCGAATATACGTGAAAGCTCTTGGGAGTTCTCGCACTCACGCACCTTCCATTCTCGCTTGAGCGAAAAGACGACAAACCTCTTGGGTGTGCACTCGCTCAAGCGACATCTAATCTCGCTTAAGCGAAAATACGACAAAGTTCTCGAGTTTCTACTCGCTCAAGCGGACATCTTTTGCTTGAGTGAAAGTTGTTGTTTTTCGCTCAAGCGAATAATTGGTCGCTTGAGCGAATGAATGATGCGAGGCCCGACCCAAATTTTCCTCTAAAAAGATAAGACGCGTGTTGAGATGTAATTTTATGTTTTTGGAGAAGAGGCGTGGTTGTTGTTCTGTTCTTCAAGGATTCTTCAATTCTTCCTCATTTTAGAGCATTGTAATGGCCACCATGAGTGGCTAACTTCATTTTCTTAGGATTGGGTGCACTTCCTTGGAACTCTTTTGTATCATGGTGATATTTTGAGATATTAATCTATGTTTTTTATGTTGTTATTCTTATATTTTGTGCTTTGGAATGAATTATTCTTGATGTTTGGGATATGATTAGAAAATATATCTTGAACCCTAGATCAGGTAAGAATATTTGCTATGTTAATTGCCAAGAATGGAATGAATGTATCAATTGTTTAACATCCTAAACCTAATGCTGGAAAATCTTTTAACTGTGTGAGAAATCGACATTTATCAGGTTTTCTTATGAATTTCACATGCGAGAAATCAAAGTGAATGATTTGAGCAGGTGGCATCAACATTGTTAGGTTAATTGATGTTCTTAATTTGACATAACTATTATACAAAAGAGAGAAAAGGAAGGAAGTCAATCCTAAGTTCTTTAATTTGATTTTTTCTAAATATCGTTTATCATTCTTTACCATTTAATTTCAATCCAAATCTTTATGAAAACCCAATTTTGTTTCAATATACTTAGTAAACATATGATTTGGAATTTCCATTGAAACCATTCCTCGTGGGATCGACTTTTATTTAATTGAAATACTATACTGCGATTGATAATTTTGATACGCTTGGTAAATAAATATTCAACAAGGAACTGATGGGATATTTGGACTTACATGAAACAAGATTGGTCTAAAATATTTCAAATAAGATGGTGCAGTCATGTTTCTAGTAGACCTTCTAAGATAAATAGAATCATTATTAGATTCACTATGTTAAGTAATCTTAGTGCTAATATTAGAATTATTATTGTTATATTTAGAAATGTGAAAATATTCAGAAAGGTTGAATTTATACTGGTCATGGAAAATAGGCAAAGAAGTGTATGAAAGATTGTTATTATTTTCAAAATAGCATAAGTAACCGAAAACACATATACAACTTATATCAAATAGTTTATTGTATAACTTATCAAAAGGTGAAATATTATCAAGGTAAGGAGTAGGAACACAATTTATCAAATGCACACCATAATTCATAACATAGTTCCAAAATTGCATACTCAAATTAGTTTGAAACAACAAAGTCTGAGTAAAATTAAGGATGTGTTTGAAACATATTGGTGAACTTTTGCTGTCATTGCCATCAAAGCTTGATATTGATGTTAGGATAAACGAAATTCTTGCTCTCTAGTATAATCCACATATTCATTCTTTATCTCGAATTTATTATCAATTTGATTGATTGAGTTATTCTTACCACTATAGAATCTATGACCCGGAGGAAAATTGTGCTTGTAGCAGACCTCTATTTTGTGGTAATTTCTTCCACAATGTGTGCACATCTTCTTATTGACATTATTCTTGTTGCCTCTATCAAAGTTTGTGGGGAAGCTATGTTTCCTATAACATGTTGAATCAGTGTGCCTATTCTTTCCACAAAAGGAGCACGTGATGGTAGCAGCAACATTGACTTTAACATCAGTAGAAGAAAAAGATAGGGTTCCTTGCAAATTGGTGTTCCTACTGTGCTAAGTAGGAAAAAAAGTTAAGTATTAGGAGGAATTGGATCAAGAAGAAGAACGTGTGACCTTATGTTGTTGTATTGATCATTGAGACCACAGAGGAATTGCATAGCCTGGTCTTCTGTCTTCCTTTGCTTGACTAGACAAATCCCGTCACAGGTCCATTTGGTAGGACATTTGCATGATGGTTCTGGTCTAAAATTTTCAAGCACATCCCATATTATCCTCATCTTTGTAAAAATTTCAGTGATAGTGAGATCACCTTGACGCAACAAGGATGCCTTCATCTATTGCTTTGAAATCCTCAAAAGATCTCCTTAGAAGAATCTTGATCTCAAGTTATTCCATATTCCATTGCCTTGTCCATACACAAAATACTCTACCTTATGGAGGGTGATACGCATAAGTCAGGATACAACCATGTTGTTGCATCTTTTCCATGTTTGATAGGTAAGGTCTCAATCTTTGGCTCAATCACAATGTCATTGATGAACTCCAATTTATTCTTGACACTGAAAGTGGTGATGACAGATCGACTCCAAGAATGATAATTGTTTAACTCAAGAATTGACAAGACAAGGAGAACAACAAGGTTTTCATTAGGGTGGAGATAGAGATACGAATGAGCCAAAGTTCCAGGATTCATGATTGAAATATTGTAAAACAAGAAAAGAAAGAAAACTAAAAAGATGATTATCAAGAGAAAAGGAAAAGAAAGAAGAGAATATAGACTTAGAACAAAACTTTTCAAATAAAGAGCTTTGATACCACCTTAGAAACCTTTATGAGAAGAGAAAACTTACTCTTCTTTGAAACAAAAGGAATCTAGAGATTAACAGGTAGGAAGAACAAGATAAAGTGGAGAAAAGCGAACAAAAACACATAAAATATTTTCATTTAGAATGAATGAATAACACTACTATGGATGATTGCAAGAGTATCCTATATAAAGGGTAGAAAATAGAAAAACAAAATAGATAAAGATAGACTTAAACTTAAAAAAGACTCACTTAGACTCCATGATTATCCGTTGGACACCTTATCTAAATGATTTAGATTATGAGAAATGTAATTCTCATATATGCCTTGCATCCCATATCCAAATCTTTGGATGAGTAAAATAAATCTTGTATATTTATTTTTCTAAGGAAGCTTTTGATAGAAGATATAAGCTTCTTATTCACTAAAAAAACACGTTGACCAATAAAAGATTCGAATGAATTTTCACTATCTTTTGTTTACGCACATCAACCATTTCCCCAAAGTTAATAAAAAATTTATTAAAGTCAACAAAATTTATGAATCAAAAAGATAGTAATAAAAAAAAACAAAATAAGTATAAAAAATTTATTTAATAATGTCATAATAAGGAAAAACAAAACAATAAAAACTATGTACAAAAAATAAAAAAATAAAAATCTAAGCGGAAGATGTAGTTGCTCCATTAAAATATGGTAAAGTCACATTAGTTCTAGCATTTAAAAAAAAAAATATATATATATATATATATAATTATTTTTCTTCTATCAGACAAAGAAATAAAGAATATATAAATAAATATAATTTAGGAGGGAAATAAAAAATCATAAGATAAAAAAGAGTAATTTATTATTTTACAGTATGGTAGAGAAAAATAAATAACTATTAATACTCTCTAACTTGTAACTTAAAAGAAAGTTTAATAAATACTCTTTAACATTTGCCTTGAGGCACACATTAGATAAACCGATCTAATAATTATCATTCTTAAACTATTTTTCCAAGAAATAATTCCTTAATTTATTAAATGTTATTTCCAAAAAAAAAAATCTTCCCTTAAGAAAAATTTAAACAGAAACACTATAAACTTGTTAAATATTTATCATAAAAATGAAAATTAAATTAATTATTTTAAAATCATAATTTTCCAAAAAAGAAAAGAGTGGTAGCATTATTTATTTGCATTTGTTGTATAAAAGTAAAAGAAAACAAAAACAGAAGAATTGGGGGAAGAAGAGATAGGGGTGGTGGCACTGTGTAACCGATATCATATCATATCATATCATATATTCTTTGTGTTTTTTCTTCTTTCATCTTTGGGTTAGGGTTCTATGCTTGCAATTTCCTTCACCCACACCCTTCCACAATTTCAATTCGTTTCCCTACCGACACTGCGCCATCCTTCTTCGACACGGTATCGTTTCTTTCTTTCGCGTTTCTCCAAATTGCGCTTTATCCACAGCCTTCTCTCAAAGTCCGTGCTATAAATTTAATTATATTCATTTCTCAATTTTGAAATGTAAAGCTATTATAATTTGTGCAATTTCGCTTCAATTTATTATTTTTATATTATTTTTATATATCTTTAACTCCATTGTTGAATAGGTCCTGTTTGTTGAGTGGATTGGATTAAAGAATAAAAGCCTAGAATGACCTTCGTAGCACATCAACCTCAGGTATTTGGATTATGAGTTTATTTGTTTGCTCTCAAGGTTTATTACTGTATTGTGTTTGCAATTTACTTTTCAATTTTATTTTCCCATCACTATCAAGTTTTATGCTTGTTGTTAGTCTAATTAATTAGTGAGTATGTAACGATAAAATATCAAATGGTGTGATATATTAACAACCAATGCTCTTAGTGTCCATGAGATATATGTACTTTCTAGCTTTTCACTGCAGAATGACGCTCTGAAGGATGCAATTTCTGGTTAAGGTTTCAACTTTTGCATTAAATTTAATAGTTGGAGCAACAAGGTTTCACCCTTTGATTTTCTAATGTCCTGGGGTGGGAATATCAAAATTGTATTGTAAGTTGAGACTTCATACATCTCTGTCATTCAAAGAAATTCAACAAGTCTTGTTTGTCTATTTTAATGGGTGTTTTGTTTTTATTATAGGATGTTGTTAGCAAATTTTCATGTTCACATTTCAAATGGTTGGGTATATGAATTATGAACTTTATTGATGATTTGCTTCTTTTCTTCAGGGTTTGTACGTGACATCATCCTCGAGGCATTTGTCATGGAGCAAAAGGCTGAAGTTGAAGCAGTGTTTAACAAAGCATCACATGAATGGAAGAACTGAGTGGCATTGCCTAGTAAAGAGGAATATTTGTCTAAGGTAGAAATTAAATATGGTCTTTGTTGTCTGGGTGTCTTTTAAGAAGTTCAGATTTAGTTAGTGTAATGATAGAAGTGTATTTCAGTAAGAGGTGGCCGTAATCAAATGTCCACTGCACTCTAAGTGGGTTTCCTTGAAATAAGATTAAATAAATTACGGTTTACCAACTATATTTACATTACACTTGAGGTAAATTTTGTCATCATTAAAAATTTTCTTCTGCTAGTAAAATCAGAAAGAAAATGATTTCTGGTGAGAGAAAAACCAATTTGTACTTGTAAACATTACTTACACCATTTGTTTATGCATTTCTTATGTGTCTTCTCTCTGTTTGTAGTACCAATATTAAATAGTACTTCATGATTTGTATATGTATTAATATTTATTGATTTAAATATTTCAATTTACTTTTTAGTTTGCTTGCCCTTGTGATTGTTGCACATGCAGCAATGTGCCCAAACTAAATGTGCATGACTTTGTAGTTCTGCCTCTCATGAAGAGTTTATTGTTTCCAGTGTAGGGCCTCCTTGCTTTTGTATATCTAAGCTCAAACCTTTGACGATTTCAGCCTTTAAAGGCAGCACCCAAAATGACGATTCAGGAACCAGGGCTAACTGGTTGAAGGCACCCAAGACATCTGTTAGACTAGGAGAGAGTGAAGAAGCTCACAATGTTCCACTCTCTTATGCATCTGAAACAAATGATGCCCTTCCAACATCATCTTCTATTCATAAGCTTTTCAATAAATGGCTGGCAATGTTGTGCACACAACCGTCAAGCCAAGAAGTGGAGAAAATTTTTGAAGAACCCACATCAGCTGGGGATTTACCAAAAACTGTACAAGGGACTCAAATTATGGAAAGAAGTGAGGTTTTGAAGGTGGCATGGTCCCAGTTTCTGGCCCTGGATGCAACAATAAAGACTCCTTTGTTGATATTGTAAGTACGATGGTATTTTCCTCTCTACAAGTTATGCAATCTTTGTGAAAGGATGACATGTTTGCATTCATTTTTGGTCGTACCATTTACATGTTTTATTATGTCATCTTCAAGTTCATTTGTCAGTTTGTCACATTTATATTCATCATTACTGCTTAGTCAATATAGTATGTAACTTTCTTCCTTTTAAACAATGTTCACGGCATTTGATGTCTCAACAATGCTTTTGTATCTTCTAACCTCATCCTTTATCTGCAGCGTTCCTCTCTACCTGGCTGTTAATGTAAAATATGGTGCTGAAGTTTCCAAGGAGTTAACTCCTTTATGGGTTTTAGGGCCACTAATTGTGGCTACACAAGTCATAATGATACGTTGGCTTTGTGCACTCTATGCCTTCAGCTTCAAACAGACTGTCAAATTATTCAAGAATTCTCCCTCTTACTGCATTTTGGCCTATAGCTACGTTTTTCGCGGCAAGCTCAAAGAGGATATCTCAACTAAAGTTTTGCAGCCTATATTGAGGATAAACAACATAGACTATAGACAACTAACAAGAAAAAAGTTGAAAGAATTGCAGGAATGGGTAATGGAGATGTATCTTGACTATGTGGAATCGATATGGCCCTATTATTGTCGAACAATCAGATTTCTGAAGAGGGCTAATCTTATTTAGGTTTGAATCTGAACATTGAAAGTATTCTTAGGGGTAGTCTCCTGAAAAGGCTAAAAGAGGGTGAAGGAGAGAATACTCTGTAGCGTTGAAATTTTTGAATGAGATATTGCCAATCCCGTTTTCTGTTGGGGTTTTGGTATTTTGAGCAGAGGTAATTGTCTTGAGAAAGCTAAGTTCTAATTTATGTTATATTGAAAACGTTACATTATGGTTAGATTAGGTTGTAATTGTTTATTGTTGTTGAATCACTACTTGTATTTCGTTCGAGTTCCAAGTGATATGGATTCTATTCTGCAACTTGTCCTGGTTGAATGGGCGATTGTTTAGGCTCCTTAGCCCCACTGTTTATAGCATTTGTCAGCCGTCCAGAGATTAATTGTTTGTAGAATGATCCAGCATGATGGAGGAAGAAAACAGGGTAAGTATTTCTGTTAGCATATCATTACTTAATTCTGTTAAGAAATAAGATACATATTAGTCCATTAATAAACACAATAAAATGGTTGAGCTACGTTAATTTTGCGTTGTCTACGCAAAAGTAATGCAATCTTTGCAGCTCCATTTATACTCCATGGTTATCCAACACATTTTATTGCCAACAATATTCTCAATGCGCTTAAATTTTGTGAATGTACCATTCCTCGTGTGGACTCGTTTCAGTGATTGATGTATCGTCACCAAAGCGATAGTCGCAGATTTTGCAAAACCTCCACGATACTGCGTATTTCGATCTTTTTGGAACAACTTCTATGATTTGGTTGTACATCGTCTCCACCACAACGACTTCCAAGACTTCTTATTCTATTAAAATTATAACTTTTCTCTATCAATTCTACTCGATAAATTTTGATAGAAGCGAACTTTAGCCAAACAATGAGCCTTTTAACCATTTCATTAATGCAACCTGATGTTCACTGTATTAAAACAAGCACAAAACATGAAGCACAGTACCAATTATTATATATTAAGGACTTCTTCCAATTACCAAATCATGAAGCCCCTTATCACATTTGTAACCCCAGAAAGATCATGATCGGATAATCTGTTTAAGGCTAGGAAATTGATGGTTGAGGCCATGACCATCTTTTCAGTCATAAGTTCCAGAATTTCTGGTAGTAATGATGTCTTGAATTGCATTAAGGTTTTCCATGATGACATGCATTGGTGCTTCTGAAGGCATATTAATTCAGTTCTTCTTCACCACATGTTTCCCATTGGGAATGCTAGCTTGAGAATCTGCTGGTGGTGTTGATCCATTGCTTGATTGATCTTCATAACCTACTACAGGGTCTGCATATGACCTGTAACAAGCGAATCTAGACAAAAATGAAGGAGCAGGGATTAGTAACTGGAATATTAGAGGAAGGGTTTATTATGCTATTTAACTTTATTTTTCAATGCACAGAGGCTAACAATATTAAAACAGCCATTCTTGTATTCTTCTCTATATTTTTCTAAAATGGAACGCGCAAGATGTTTTAGTTCAGAACACATGCTTACCCGCTTGAATTTATGAGTTCATCATTTACTCTTAGTTGCACATCAAATATGTTGCCTGCAAAAAGAAATATTTACTATCAATTGACACTGGATTCTTTTTGTGGAAATTTAAACTTATATTTTAACAAATAAAATAAATTCATAATACAAAGTCGACAAGAAACAAAAGAATGAGTTCTCAATTTTGCTTATAACCTGCTTTCAGATGCAAATAATCATAATAACCTAGAGTTATGGTAAACACTGCCAGACACAGTAGTCTGGAGCCCACAATTCAAACGCATCTCATTAAATTATGAGAGTTATATTGGATGAAAGTTGTCTTCCATTTTATTAGGGAGATCAATGGCAAACAAAATACATCATGAACAAAGAAAAGATAGACACCTATTTACTTAGAAAACATATTTCATGTTTTTGTTACTTGTTTTCAACTTTAATTGCAACAATGTCACTTTATCATCATTTTATTTTTTAGTTTCAAAAGTGAAAACCTTTTCCTTTACAGTTTTCTATACAATTGAAAACAAAAAAGGTGAAAACTAAGATAGCATTTTTGTAATTGAAAGAGTAAGCTGAAAATGAAAACAATCCAAGTCAAGCAAGACCTATATTATTTACCACATCACAGGAATGTGTAGTTTTCGTGCATTACAGCATTTCATCACAACCGTCTATAGTACATTGGTGACACTTGTATTACTATCCTTCATTAGTGTATATTCATTCAAATATTTGGAAAACATGGATGCTTCATTCAAATAAAGATAATTAGGGAGTACCAGAGCAGATACAATAGATATTATGCACTGCAGAATTATATTATAATATATACATTAATTACATAATAGTTGATTGAATTTGAAAAGTTTGGTAAAATTAGGGATTGAACTTGGCGATAATTATAAAATAACATGTTTATATGCTATTCTATGAATTTAATTTATATATATATATATATATATATATATATATATTATTTATTACTTTAAAAATATTTATTATTAATTAAATACTTGTATCATTTTTCATCCCAAAATCTTAAAGAGGAGTGCTAATAACACACTCTAACACAACTATATTATTGGTTAAAAGTTATGGAAATTCAAAAAAATAAGGAGAGACTTATTAGATAAGTGGGACCTACAAAAAATTGTGATTTCTAATATATGTTAACTAATGGTTTCATAGAGTGTGTTGGTAGCACTCTCAAACTAAAATATTCATTTTTGAATTATATTTTATTATAAAATATTATTATTAATTAAAATGCGATTATAAAAATAAAATGGAAAATTCATATGATCTTTCTTTTTGTATAAATCTCTCTTTTTAATAAGTGATACTTATTTCATAGTCACACATATTTTTTCATTATTTAGTCAATTCTATCTTTCAAAATGTTGATTGACCTCTACTTGATGATGAACACACCCAATCTTCCTAATGAACTTGATCCAAAGCTTACAAATATTCTTTTCATACCCATTTGTCCATTTATAATTGATATCTCCCTCTAATATCATTGTTTGAGTCCATCTTAGAAATTTACAAATACAAAAGTAATAAATTTTCTGCAATGTAAAACAGTCAAATGGGCTCTTGTAGGTAGACAAATAAAAAAATCTAAGTAATAAATTAAAGCAATACACAAAAACTGCAGAAAAAATGGGCTCTTCACACATAAATTAAAGGAAAATGTAATAATAGCTAATGATTTGCATACCTCCATAAATGTTTTTGTTAGAGAAATATTTTGCAACCAATCGATAAGCGTACTCATTGTCATATTTTCTGAACCTCTCAATGCACTGTGGACTGTCCAAGTGACTGTAAATTGAAGAATATGATAAATTATTTCAGTTTGGACATATAAATTGCAGATAATAACACTTTCAATCCAAAGATTTTAGGTTTGTGTCCTTTAAATTATAAGGCACATACTTTATAGCATTCTATTTCTAAAGTAGATATTCTTTTTGTCAAAATTAAAAAAATTAAATAAAGAGGAAGAAGAATTAAATCTGATAACAGAGGTGCGTCAGGAAGAGATATCATATCGGTCACTTAGAATAGCCTCCAGGGTGGATGTGATATGCTTATTGGAGGAAAGTAATGACTATGTAATGGGCAAACTGATGACTGTGTAACTGGCAATGAAATTGTATGACGGAAGTGACCAGGTGTGCAGCTTAATTTATTTACAAATATCCAGGAAAAGTTTCACTCTGCACCTTGAGATACTAAAATGGCTCTGATCTTCCTAAACCACTATGGTGAGGAGGAATTTCAATGGACTATATACACAAAACAAGATTACGCAATGGAGAAGAACTGAGTCAGCGATTATATGATACAAAATCAACCAAGAAACCTAAGTATAAATTTATCGGTGAGCTCACATACACCAAAGGATGTAACTAAGTTAAGACCACAATATAGGAAGTGATCGGAAGGGTGGTAATTTGAATAAACATAGAGTTTTGTTCTTCCAACTAATATGACATATTGCTATGACAAAAGTAATGGGTTCAAAAGAATTCTCATTCAGAACAAAAAGGAAATTAAATATACAGATGAATCTGCTTTAAAATGCAGATACCAATGTTAGTTTCAACACAGAACAATATTGTAGTCCTTCGTCCGTATCTCAAAAATGGCTTGAAATACTTCTGGCACATCTATTTCTAAATGTGAGATAATTCAAGTATATTGCTGCCACTTCAGCTTGAACCTTGGCACTTCATCTATTTGACTCAGTTGGCAAGGAAGCTCCATGTGAGTGATCTTTACTCACAGAGCAGGTGTTCAAGTCTTGCATGAGGCACCTATGGTCCTACCCATTCCAATAGAAATTTATGGGATAGGCTCACGCCTAAAGGAAATGGAGAAGAAACCTCATGTGAGAAGAAAAAAAAAAAAAAAGCCCCAGATACAGAAGGTATGGAATATTCACCTAAATTCCTGTTAATTTTTTTACCATTTCATCTGCATGTTCTCAATCTGCATCCCTATTTTTATCTTTTTTTCATCATCCTTCTCTTTATGTTTTTCCTACAAATATTTCACCTTTCCTGGTGCATCCATGTTGCTTAATTTCAATATCCGCAGTGGCAGTATCAAATCGCACCATTGTACATAAACTGTTAAAAAATGTTGTTTTCCAGTGGTGGTGCATAACTGATCACTTTATATTGCAACGAAAATTCGACCTCACCTCGTACATTGACGTTGTAGTTATTTTTTTAACAATTTACCCCACACTGAATTTTCTAACTACTCTGTCACCAAATTAACACCAGCTTTAAGTTCAAAAATAAAACACGAGCACAAGACCTAAAAGATACAGATCCATCCACTATAAATATAGTCTTTGATCGGAGCCTGCTCATAATCATCCATAAGATTGTTATGGCAAGAAAAAAAAATAGAAACAAGAGCCGCTTGAAATTTACAGCAGCGTTAAATTAAAATGCTATTCACTTCAAGATCTTAAGAAATTCCAAAATACAAAAATAATAAATATATATCTATACACAGAACATCAGCTTCAACAATGAATAACGAGTAGAATAGAAAAAGAAAACAGAAGTGGGGGAGGGAACTTACTCCAGGCCATCGGTGAAGTTAGGTTTTTTATCGTCGACGTGACAAATCCCGTTGTTCGAAGCAGCTTCCACCTTAGAAGAGAAAAAGCGTGGGAATAATTAGCAAAGAGGCGCGTGTGCATGCCTGAAGTTGAAGAGTGTGAATTGACTTACCGTGTCCCTGGGGGAGATGTTGCCGGAATTGGAGGCGGAGTGTGGAGGAGGAGGAGGAGAGGGTGAAGGCACGCTCGCCATTTTATCTCTCTTCGTCTTCTAAAGTCAGTTTTTTTGCATTTGTAAATTGGGATGATTGTGCTTCGGTTTCACTCGGTATTATAAAGCAACAGGCTAGGCAGTTCCATTGGTGCGCCTATGTCTTGTTCTATACTATGTATAAAATTTATAGTCAATTTGTCTCGTCACATACTCAAAGTTACATTGATATTTTTATTAATGACGGGAATATTATTATAATATATAATCAACTATGATAATATATAATTAAGTTGATTTAATAATAATAATAATAATAATAATAATTAATTATTATTATTATTATTATTATTATTATTATTAATGTTGAGATAATAATAGCCCATCAAACCCAAAAATTGGATAGCTTCTATCATTGCATTAGAAGATAAAAATAAAAGTGTTATCATTTAAAAAAAAATATTATGATTTAACTAGTGAAAAGAAAAAAAATGATAAAAAAAATCATAAAAATGTGGATATGTGATGAGTCATTATATTCTCATATTTTCTTCTCTTTCGAACTTATTTTAATTAGTATTTTGGGTTTAATTTTTTATTATTAGTGAATTTTTATTAATTGGGCTTCATTGGACCAATAATTTAGATTTTAATTAATTTGAATTTATTTGATCTAATTTTTTCTCATTATTAATTTTAGGATAGTTTAAAGAAATTTTGGGCCTAGAAGATTGGGCCAAATGTCATATTATAGTTTAAAGTAATTTTGAGCTTGGAAAATTGGGTCAAATGTCATATTTTATTTTATATGGGTACTAACATTAGTTCATTGTTTTATTTATCATTTTTTTAGAGATCTCCAAAAGTCATGATTCTAAAAGCATTATAAACTACACACATTGAGTTTTTTATAGGATCCAAAATCATTCAATTCGGAGCTAAATTGGATTTTACATAAATTATCCAAAACGGGTCAAGCGCACCAGGCCGACCCAATGGATATGCTTCAGTAATTTAAGTCTCCTAAATTCATTAGACCTCTGAAAATAGTAAAAACGATGACGTTTTAAAGCTAACTCAAAAGGCTTTCAAAGGAGACCGAAATCGCTTAATTTGGATAAGTATTGAAAATACTGCACGTGTTTGAAGTTCACAGACCTGTACTAAAGCCAACTTAGGATGTGTTTCATGAACCAGTTGAGTCCAAACCTCGATTAAGATTAGGGTTAGGGTTGTTAGAAAAGTAGTTTTAGATCAAGAGGGGGGGGGGGGGTGAATTGATCTTTAAAAGATTTTCGCAAATAACAGATTATCTATTTGTATAAATAAGATTTCAGATCTGTTCTTGAATCACAAAGCAAGCAATCAAAAATAAACGCAACAACGAAATTAAAAGAGGAGAAAGGTTTAGAAAGATATCACCGGTGTTTATACTGGTTCACCCAATACCAGGGCTACGTCCAGTCTCCAGCCAAATTCTAGCTGGGTTCCACTAGATCAAATGTTTTACAGATTACAATCTTACACTTAATCTACCACAAGAACCACAATTCCAGTTCCTGCACCTAACCTTTCACCAAGAACCAAATTTCAGTTCTTGACAACCTCTACAACCAAATTTCAGCTGCAGAGAAACCAGTGCCCACAATTCCAGGCACCAAACAATACAAAAAGAATGTAAAGAATTGAAAAGAAGAAACTAGAATGCTCAAACCAGTTTTATGCAATTCTGCAGTGTGTTTCTTCTTCAAAAGAAAGCAATTTACCTCAAGAAAGAATTTCAAAGAACTTCACAAAAACTGACGCGAATCTTTCTTGAAAGTGTGCTAAAGTTTGCTTGCTTGATTGTTAAAGATTGATGTTCAATGTGTGTTTAAAATGTTCAAGCCAAACTGTTTTTATATAAGATTTTCAAAACTATTAGTTTAATCAATCTGTTAAAATAATCTTTTAATCTGTTAAAAGTGTAGTTTTACGTTCTTCATTCTTTAACGATTTGTTTTAACCGATACGACAACGTTTATATCAATTAAAACTCTTTACAAAAAATCTTCTAATTTGTTTTAATCGATTGTTTCGTGTTTCAATCGATTAATATACTGCAAAACTTTATTGTAAAATTTTCAAGTGATTTTAATTGATAGAAATAAGTTTTAATCGATTAAAACTTTGTGTAGAAATTTTCTAAGTTGTTTTAATCGATTGAAACGTGTTTTAATCGATTGAAAAAGTTATGATCGGTCATAACTCAATTCTGATCGATCATATCTGATTCTGATCGGTCATAATTGCATTCTGATCGATCATCCTGAATGTTAAGTGGATTTAATCGATTAAAATACTGCAAAAACACTTCTCTTAATATTTTAAGTGATTTTAATCGGTTATTTCGAAGCTTTATCAGTTAAAACACTGACATAAGGTTTTCAAAACTTTCTTTAATGAAAACAACCGATTATTTCGAAATTATATCAGTTAAAAACTTGTTTAAGAAAGCTTTTGTTAAAATACTTTGTTTTTAACTGCTTAAACGTTTTTAGAGGCATTTTGCAAAATATTTTAAGTGAAGAAACCTCATGCAGCAGAAAAGATAAAAATGATTATACCTAAGCATAGCTGCGGACACACTAATCTCTCTATTCTTTTATCTAAGTGACTGTTGACGGCTACAAAGTTGACTTTGACTTTATCTTTGACTTCATCAAATCAACATGATCTTTGTCAGAGTATTTCAATAAGATCTTCATCACTTTCAGTCTCCCCCTATTTGATGAAGACAAACACCACTTTGAATAATAACTCTGCAAAAGAAGTCACTTGATAAAACAGATTAGTGAGAAATAAAAAATGAATTATTTTCCTATTTCTCCCCCTAAATTGTTGCTTCCTAAATAAAGAATTATTTCTGATCAAAAGTAAAGCAACTAAAGCAACTTTTCTCCCCCGTTTGACTTCATCAAAAAAAATAGGGACCAGAAGAGAAATAATGCAAAGGTATGTAATAAGTTTGAGATTTTGAAAATAATAAAAATGAATACGATATTTTACTCATGTAAAGATTAATCAAAGTTGATTCAAACTTATCTTCATTAACACGTTTGTAATGAATACAATTAACACGTGTAAAGATAAGGGAATCACGCTTTAGTAGCATGTTGCAAGAACAACCATTAACTAAAGCCTCTAATTTTTCTTTCCAGAATAAAAATTGATTAAAAACAGGACAAAATCGATTAAAAAGTTCTTGTTTAATGATTTTAATCGATTGAAATAAAGGTTTAATCGATTAAAATAGTGAAGGACTTCGAAAGTATGAAACATAAGTGCATTTAATCGATTAATTCGATATTTAATCGATTAAAACAAGTAAAGAAAAATGTTGTATAAATTCTTTTAATCGATTTAAAAGATTTTTTATTGATTAAAACAACCAGTTTTGCAAACTAAGTAATGTTTGATGCAAATTTATCATGCCTAATCCGAGTGTAAGTTTTGAAAAACCGATCATTTAGAAAGATGCTTTACAATAATATCAACTACATCGATTAAATTTTAACCAATAGATCCATCAAAATTAGAATAAAATCTTATTTAGCTAATTTAAGCTGATGTAAAGCTGGTTTATATAGATTTTAATCGATTGATACGCTGATTTAATCGATTATTTTGTTGTGAAAGTGTTTCCTTTAATCGATTTAATCGATTAACTCCATTCAGTATCGACTAAAAATATCGGGGATCTATGTTAAATTCTATCTAGGCTAGTTTGATTCGATTTAAAACCTACATTATATTAACCAAAGCTAAAAATATTGTACCTGGTATACAACTAGTAAATATTACAGACCAGAAATTGAAATTAGCATCAAAATAAGAAATAAAAGAAAGATAAGAAGGGACCCTTTTAATCCATAAAATCAATCATCCCAGTTTCCTTGGTTCAGCTGCATATCTTCCAACTTGGTGTAGATATCAGCAATTTGGTTTTCAAGGGATGCGAATTGATTGTTTGTTTGCTGGAAGTGTTGGAATGTCATCTGCATATGCTTTCTCTGATTTTCCTGCACTGCAGCCATTTGAGAAAACATTGTTCTTTCAAACAGAGATAAAGGAGTCCCACGGTCGAGTCTGCTCCATGTAAGGAATGATTTCCATATTTTCATATGAGGCTTGACCACTTGGTTGACTCGGGAACCTCTGCGGCAGTTGGAGAGGGAGGAATTTGGCCTTGTTCATTTTCATCTTCATCTTCTTCCTCACCCTCGGACATCCCAAGCATCAATTTTGGAGATCCATTCATCATCAACTTTTATATATCCCATTTTTCTTAGGGTGGAGTCGTCAATTTCATTTGATGCCTTGGGGGTTTCTATGCTCTCCCTAGAAAGACCAACTTCAAAAAATCTAAAGAAATTATTGATTAACATAGCATATGGCAATTTGAAATCTGTCAGCCGTTTAGCTTTCAACATGTGATCTTTGATCACATACACCTAGTTTACCCGAACATTGTTAAAAATGCAATACATGAGGGCAAGATCTCCCTCATTAAGAATAGCATGATTACTCCCCCTTGGAGTAAGCATCCATGCCACAATAAAAGCAAGTAATCTATGTTCAAGTGCAAGTTTTCCAGCATTCAGAATTCTTACCGAGTCATTTGGATCCTTAAGGCAAGATCGGAAAAACTGAATCTTGTTGAACTCAGGAATCTCAGAAATATTCCCCCTTGAGACTTTGACACCTCTATCCTTAAGGCCAGCAACTTGCTCCCAAACAGCAGGAGTAATTTCCATGTTTACTCCCTTCACTTGAGATCTGATTGTAGAACCATTCACTGTTAAATTTGAGTAGAAGACCCGAACCGGATCGAGGTTGAATATTCCTTGTGAACTCCATGAAGGTTTTTAGCTTTTGACTTTTTAACTTTCTTCTCGGACTAGTAAAACCTTCTTCGTCCAGCCACCTAAATTTGATAAATTTTGGAATAACAATTTGTTTCGACTAAACTCGAGATGAAGGTGTTCATCTTTCCTATATCT